GCCCCCGCTCTGGGCTGCGAATGCACGGCAACCCTGCGCCGGCGGCAACACGTGAGCGGGGCCGGCCGTGCCGGGCTCAGCGCTGAGCAGTCTGAGGCGCCGACAGAAACCAGATGGCCAACAAGCCGGAGGCTCGGGGCCAAGCTGGACAGGAGCGAGCACGGAGGACGGTGGGGGCTGGCCTGCCGGGCACCGGGGGCACCCGGTGCCTGGCAGCAGCGGGCTCGGGGAATGTGGGATGCAGCCAGGGACTCGCTGTGTGGGGGCTTGTGCTGCTGGAGAGGTGGCCAGGGTGCCTGAGGGGTGAGCCCGGTCCAGGCCCTGCTCGGGGAGCCAGGTGGGTGCCCTGGCACACACCCCGGCGCTCCCAGGCCAACTCGGCGGCTGGGGGCCCCGCCCAGCGCCACACGCTCCCTCCTGGTACTTGACTTCCCAGAGTGGTCAGCGGCCCCTGAGCCGCCGGAGCCACGCTGGCGGCGGGGGCTGGAGTGCTCTGGGCGGGCAGGGGCTGGGCCCGGGCGCTCCAGCGTCGGCCACTCCTCCCTTCAGCCCACTGCCCTTCTGCGGAGGTCCGGGGTTCCCTCCCAGGCAGCTCTGGTGAGAAGCGTGGTGCCCCGCCCCCCTGATCAGTGTGGGCCCAGAGCCACCGGCCAGGCGGTGAGGGGAGCCCGCAGCTGGGCTCAGCCTTCGCGGCCCGCGGCCCTCGGCGCCCTGGCCCAGACCCACACTGGGCACAGGCTCACACGCCTCATCGCCCCAGAACGGGCGCCTGACGCTAGGCGGGGCCCAGCCTGCGTGCCCAGCGACGGACTCCCGGGCCGGGAGCTCAGCTGCCCCCGACGCAAGCACAGGCCACACCAGACAGGGCCTCGGGCGCCTGGCCTGCCTGGGTGGACGCCGGGAGAGGGCAGCAGCGTCACTGCGTCCTGGTGGGCTGCACCTGTGCCCTGGGGGCGGCAGCCCCTCTTTGGCCTTCACCTGGGAACCCCCACTGGGGACGGGAGAGGGGCAGGAACCCCTCCGTGGCAGGCAGCATGGGGCCTGGGCCAGGCCCAGGGCGCCCCAGGGGGGCTGCCCCTCCACCTCACTGTGCACACAGGTAAACTGAGGCAAGACGCTGGCCTGGAAAGGGCACATCGTGGGCACAGGGCGCGGCACTGCAGGCTCACCGGAAGGGGTCTGAGGGGTCCTTGGCGTCACAGACGTCCGCGTGGCCGTGGCAGACGCAGCGGCCACCGATGCTGATGTCCTTGATGCTGTAATAGTACTGCAGGGGGGGTCAGTGCTGCCCGCCGGCCCGGCCGGCCCCGCCCTGCCCCCGCCTGCCCCCGCGCTCACCCGGCGGGTGACCGTGGGGTCCCACAGCGCCTTGCCCATGAGGTGGCCCAGCAGCGTGTTGGTGCGCAGGGGCAAGGCCAGCTGAAGGCCCGCCGGAGTGTTCTGGAAGGAGGCGGC